ATTTGTTGGGGGGGGGGGTATTCTAACGAGCGTTAATGTGCTCTTTTTCTACGTCATTAATCAGACGTTTCATGGATTCTTAGAAATGGATCAGAGGCCATGCGACCCATTCATTTTTATTTATCTAGACCCAGTCTTCCCCCAACTCACCTCAGCCCCTTTAAAACCTCGCTCAACCCACCCCATCGTACCTTGGTCCAACTCATTTCCTAAAGAAAAAAATTACCAATTAAGGATAAAAGCGTTTCACTCAGTACAGTAAATGATTATCAAAATTGTATATTATGATTTACAAAAACTGTGAGTTAGAGCTTGTAGGTTAAAAGTTTGCAGTGTACGTTCACTTATATGCAATCTATTTCTAACACTTTTTCTTTTAAACTCACAACAATTGGTAAGTCACTTACCAACCCAGTTGTAGATCTTCTTGAACATAGTGGAAACAGGCGTCTGTGGTGTAGGGGTAGGCCCTTCGTCTTTGAAAGGAGATCACCCGAGTTCGATTTCCGAGACGAGAGGAGACAATTGGTCTCTTTTAAGCACCAAGGGGCTATCCCGAAAAATGCTGTTTTGAGAAAATCGAAGGAAAACTTTTTGACCCTTGTTCAGTTTCTTTAAAAGACAAGGATACTTTTCTCTATAACCAAACAAATATACACACCAATGCAACCAAACTTCTCCTAAAGGTAGGACAATGCCCACCTTTGGTGTAGGTCAAGATTTCTGGAAACCCCCGAAATCTAGGTTAGCCCGCTTGTCCTTTAAAACGACCAATTTTGAACTGAGTATCTCGTTTTTTCTCTGGTACGTTGTATCCGTCTCAGCTAGGATTGTTGGCCCTGACAGGCACGATCGAAGCTCCTCTCCTAACTGATCTATAATGTGTCGATGCGGAAGTGATAACATCTTTTTATTTTCTATAATCGTGATATGTTGGGGGAGGGATGTTCAGCATTGTTATTTATTTTAGTATCTCCCAAGAAATGGAAACTCAAGAACACTCTCAAAATAAGCTAAGTTCAAAGACATCAAGTCACCACAAAATCAATACGTCCTGATCATTTGTTCCTGAGGTTTGACACAGATGCAAACGATTTTTTTCCAGCAGACAGGATTCCAATTTGACAGCAGTTAAGCTAGCTACAATTATGTCCTATTTATTTTGTTCTGTCACGGTCATGGAAGGAACAAATTGTTTGTTTTTTTCAAAAATCCAATCCAAATTCCAGAAAGATGTTTAAGCTCAGCAATAATATGTACACACACATACACGCACGCACACACACACACACACACACACACACACACACACACACACACACAGACAGACAGACACACACACAGACACTTACTCACACACACACATACACATACAAAAATTAACACACAAACAAGCAAACAAACAAACAACAACTCACTTTGTCATTGGCATTGACGAGCTGCTCCTCTAGCGTCTCAGTGCGTGAAGAAAGGTCTTTGTTCTTAGACAAGAGAGTCTGACCAATGCGCGCTGCGAGCTCCAAATCTCTCTCTTTCTGTTCAGGAAAACAATCAAAGAACGACATGACGTGAAGTAGCCAAAGAGACAAAACAATTTTTCTTCTCTCGGCTGTTAACTTAAATATCCTCAGCCTTGGCTAAAGACGTTGGTGGGGCACGCTGCTGGCAAACTGTGGCAACAAAAAACTGTCAAAACAGAAATTTCTAATTTGAAAACTTGGTAGGAGACAAACCAGACCAGCCAGTCCCTTCTCTTCGCTGGGTTCTACTGTTGTACTAAGGAAACTGTCCACAACAGCGTCAGCTCTCCTCTCATGCACATAGACTTTTACCCATCTTGTCAGACACGTTATCAAATTAAGTAACTCAATGTGTGTACAATCTCAAAATCTGTCGCCTTTCTCTCAGAAGAGGTATTACACGCCTAAGCTCTCTTTTTCTCCCCTTCCTCTGGCAACGTTTACCTGTTTGGTCCGATACCCTATCGAACAAAGTAACTCAATTTGTGCTTTACCTCAAAACCATCGCCTCGCCTCTTACTCCTACAGACTTTCCTCTTGGTCAGATAAACGGGATTATCAAAAGACGAGGCTAAATTTGAGTAACACTATGTCTTTTTCTATACTTTTTTTCCGTCATACGGCACACAGCGAGGAGGCGTTTGATATGGAAGAAGAAAGGGAAAAGGGGGAGGGGGTGAGGGGGTATTACAAATGAGCGACGTTGTTTTTTGTCATATTGTTTTATTCTTTCGGCCTTGAAAACCAGTGCTAAGACGCATTGTTGAGTCGGCAAACAACACTAGGGGGGGGGGGGGGGCTGTACTTTGTTCGAGACTAAGATAAGCGACGAACATAAATCAATGAGCCAACGGTGTTCCCCCACAGGAGGACGGTGGGCGATAATAGGACTCAAGGGTTAAAAATAATCTTCAAATGCACACACCAGAGTTTTACAATATTTTATAATTTTAGTGCAGGTGTTTTACGATACCAATTCTCCCAACACGAGAATCGACCCCGGGTCTTCTGCTTGGGACAGCGAGGCGCATTTCCGCCAAACCACAGACGCCGGTAGTGAGGTTATCGTTTTTCAGCAACTACTATATCAGAGAACTTGTAACCCTTTCCTTGCTGTTACTGACAATGGAAGGAGGAAAAAGGGGGTGGGGGCGGTAACACTTTGGTAACCAGTCAATGGAATCGCATCTACTTAATGATTTCTATTCCAACAGATTGACAACAGAGAGACAAGGAAGAGGCGGGAGTCTTTACTCGTGACACTCATCCACAAACTCGTCTGTTTACCTTAACGCCTTATTTAATAAATCGTTTATGTAACAGTTAGATGTCTCAGCAAGTGTTCTTCTGGCTGCTGATCAGACTTCATATCTCTGATCTGATAGTGCTTTTGGCGTTTGACGTCAGGAGTCTGGTGATAGTTCCATTAATGGGTACATCGCTAATCACAAATTTTAGATCCATCGGCAGTCATACATTAATTTAGTTTCTTAAATCACGTGCATTACTTTTGTTTTTGATTTTGACTTTTAGTTTTAGTAAGAGTTTTACGGCACTTGCAACTCAATGAAAAAAATATGGGTTTATCCCCACTCGTGGTTTAAAAAACGCAGAGTTGTTAAGAAGCAGAGCTGGAGGCAACATCAAATCAACGTCCAGATTTCACCAGGCCAGACAGCGGTAACACATGATGTAGTAGCAACTGTAGGGAGTCGACGATGTGGATCACACATCGCTTTGGTAGCTACATATTACAATGTGTTTTTGCACTGAGCCAGGGACGATCGCGCCAGCAATACGTCACGTATGATAAGACAGCACAAGCAGTGCGTCTACTAACCCAAAGCCTTGTTTTTATACAGGAGGCATTTGTCTAACCCCACACGGCCCATAAAGAAATCACAGCCTGGAACCTTGAGATATCTGTCCACATGAGCAGAACAAGTTTTTATCAGTCAAAAATAAGGCCTCGTGGCCTTAACTGAACTTTGGAGAACTAAATAAGGCAACGAAATAAAAGAGATACACCCCCCGTGTAGCCCCCCCCCCCCCCCCCCCCCAAAACACACGCACACACAAAAATG